CAAACTCCTAAAAACTTTAATTAACTTCTGAAAAGCCCTTCTTTCTAGTACAACCTAAAAATTAGTTGTTATTCTTGATTCTTTTAATCATACCCATAATGTACAGATCTGAACGACCAGTTTCATAAGATTAATATAGAACATATATGAACATATATACATACACATTTCTACATGTCTATATATATGTACATAATGGATAATTATAATAAATGTACCTCAACGCAACTGATTTAGACATATATTTGTCCAGATAGAACCTTTAGCCAAATACATCAGTTTGTAAGGGTTCAGAGATTCTTTTGAATCTCATTTAATCTGATAAACTGGTATCTAAGAAATGACACACAGGTAGAACTTGGCTAATCTAGAAAAATGTGTATTTTTCCAATTTCACCAGCAGGAAAACACAAAACAAACAAAAACAATATGAAGACCCAGTTGATTCAAAAGATAGATTTTTCTCTCAATATTTCTTCCAACTTCTAAATTATATATGAACAGGTTTTTTATATGTAACACTAGAGGCCTAGTGCATGAAATCCATGCACAGGTAGGGTTTCTAGGCCTGGCCGGTGATCAGGGACAATTGGGGCCTTCCAGCTGCCGGCTGGGGCCTTCCTTCATTCTGCACCACCCCCTGGTGGTCAGTGCACATCATAGCGAGCGAATGAACTCCTGGTCTCCCGGTCAAACTCCCTAGGGCAGGGGTGGGCAACCCCTGGCATGCGTGCCAAACATGGCATGCCAGTAACTTTTACTGGCACACGAAACCCTCTCTTATAATCTTCCATTTACAATTTCTGTGACGATTTAAATGACTTAAATGTTAAATTACAAGGAACTGGCAAGACACGATGTTATATTTGGTTACATAAAGGCTTTTGGAAAGAAACTGGAAGTCTTTAAGAGGGATGTGGATGGTGAGAGATTTAGATATTTCTCAAACCTCAAGAGGCACATCAAAGACCTCCCAAAAGATAACAGAACAGACTGTCAAAGCCTTCAAAAGCTGTTTTTAAATATCATCGAGTCCACTATTGAGCAGTTCTTCTCAAGATTTGCAAAATTCAGAGAACTGGAAGAGACAGCAAAATTCCTGAGGTTTCCAGACAGCATGAAACTGGAGGAACTAAACTTACAAATGTTTTCATGGATAGACTTTGAAATGTAGTTAATTGAATTTCAGAGTAGCTCAATTTGGAAGCAGAAATTTATTGACCTTAGAGTTGACTTGGAAAACATTGAAAAAAAGCGATTAGAGATAGGAGTACCAGAGAGAAGTGTCGAAAACAAACTATTGAGGACTTGGAATGCCATTCCAGAAAATTTTTTCTGTTTAAAAAACTTTGCAACACATTATTCTCCATGTTTTCATCCACATACGCTTGTGAATCTTTGTTCTCAGTGATGAATTTTGTTAAGTCTCATAGTAGGAGTAGCCTGATGGATGAAAGTAGTAGCTCGTGCATATCTCTGAAGGTCATGAAATATAAACCTGATGTAAAACCTCTGTCATCAGTGATGCAGCAGTAAAAGTCCCACTGATAATATCAAACGGAGTCATAAAGTTTTCTGTCGGACTATCAGTGTACATGTATACATTAAAAAATAAATGTATTTTTCATCATAATATACTGTGTTTTTGTCACTCAAATGAATTTTATTATTTCTTCAAGGTTCTTCACATACATACACCTTAAGAGATATCAAATAGGTGTAACATGTTCTCAAAAAATTAGGGCTGGCACGCAGAAGAATTTTGAGTCAGAGATTTTGCTGGTTTTGGCATGCACTCACAAAAAGGTTGCCCACCTCTGCCCTAGGGGATACTTTGCATATTAGCCTTTATATATATATATATAGAAGATATTGTTATGTATATCTCTAATATATGTATCTTTAATTCCTGAACCATTTAAAGGTTCTATGACCAATCAACTTGCTTCTTCATGGATGTTCCAGCTGAGGGCTTCAATTTCCACTTTCTTGGGTCTGTTAAATCTGATTTGTTAACATTCCTTTATCACCTTTCTTTCTTCTAGAGTTTTATCTTTTATCTGCTCTACTTCCTCTTGCATTCACTAAAAATGGCTATATATTTTTAGTCCCTTTGAGTGGGTAAATGAAGGAATGGAAATTAACAGGTGTAAATGGCATTGCTAAAAAGCAATACTGTTCATGTTTCTTCACATTTTCCTACCCCAATTCAGAAATTTGGGGTCAAACTTTGAGGGTGCCCTCCTTCTCAATCCTAAACCCTAAAGAATTTGTTGGTTCAAAATTCAAAAAAAAAAGAAATCAACTCATAAGGGTTCTTTTTCAAAAAGTATTCCTTAATTTCTTTAATTTCTTAGTCAAGAAAGAACTAAGTAATAAAGATTACTCATAAAAACATCTCAACCTTCTATAGAGAGATGGCAAAGCTTGAGCAAGGAAAATCCTAACTATGAAAGGCAAACTCTGGGCATCATATACTCACAACTCTTAAAGAGCAAGGAGAGCTGAAACCTTCTTAATAGCACCTGGATGGCTGACAATGATGACACCCAATTACATGTCCTTTAATACAGAACATTGAGAGCTGTGCTACACTTTAAATAAGTAGTAAGCATGCATAATTTCTCCAAAGAGGAAAAACTAAGAGACATTCTACGCTTCCATTTCCTTTCCTTATTTGAACTTGCAAAATTTATCTCAGGGGATGAAATAGCCTAGGCCTTTTAGCACCAGGCTGTAGGGAAAACTATCAGCTATGTATGGATCCCAACTTTTACCAAGAAAATGGCTTCCATTTGGCAAATAGCTTAGAAGCACCAATACATACACTCCTGTAATGCAAGGTTTGCAAGGATTTCCTGAAGCATACCCCAAATATAATATTCCATAGTTTTTCATGCATTGTAATAGTGAGAAAAATGAGCCCTGATATATTTCAAAGGGAGGTTTTGATTAGTTACCATTAGGATTTATGACTGCTGTTATCAATTAAATAAAAACGGAAAACAAATATTGCCTTATTTTCCATAAACAAGGCCTTCCAAGAACATTATTTTACTTTAAAAGTTGGTTTTATTTTATTTGTATTTTTTTAGTACGTATCTCAGGCTGCCTCTAAGTTAAGATGCAAACCTGCAAACCACTACATAAGTTTTCCTAGAAAAAAAGTTAAATGTCAAAATACACTCCCTTATATCTAATTACTAAATAGACAAAAATCCTGCTGGCCAAGATCCATTCTGTTCCATAAGATTACCTGTATAAATGAGCTACTGTCACAATGTCTATCACACCAGAATATTGTAGGTGCCTGGTCCATACAATGGTTTCAAAGAACCCACCCTCAACTACTAAGAGAAATGGAACACCACAGAAGGAAGAGAGGAAGCACCTGGAACTGTTTCAATGTTTTTATGAGTTTCAGATATAACCACAGGGCAGATTACATGAATCAAGGGTGATTAGGGCTCTTTACAATTCCACTTTCCAAATGACAATATTAAAAAAGTAAAATAACAATATGCAAAGCAACTTGGGGCCCCTGGCTTCTTCCGTGTGTGAAAGCATTGTGGGGAGAGGGGCGGGCGGGTGCTACTATCCTTTGAGTAGAATCTCACTAACTTCCTTTTCCTTAAAGCTGCCAGAAAAGGCTATGCTAAAAGATGCCATCTATCTTTAATTCAAACATCTCACATCAATCCAAGGTTTAAAATACTATCGTAGCTCCCCACTAGCTTCAAGAAGCTTAAACACCTCAACAACACGAACGTGGACCTTTGCAATCCCCGTGTTCCCCCCTCCAGTCTCACCCCATGCTCCCTCACATTCATCACCCAATGCTGAAAACAAGGCTAATAAAATGGCATACCCCTTTTCATCTCCTTAGCTCCACACTACAGCTCCTCTAATCCTCTTCATCCCATCCCTCTCTCTCCTTCATTTCCCCAACTAGCTAATCAGCCCATCTTCCTAATAAAATAAGGCATGTGCTGGCCTCCAAGTAGAACCCTTAAATCTGTTTCAACCATTAAAATACTAAAAAATCAGCCCAGTGTGGCTCAGCGTGGACCTATGAACCAGGCGGTCATGGTTCAATTCCCGGACAGGGCACATGCCCAGGTTGCAGGCTGATCCCCAGTGAGGGGCTTGCAGGAGGCAGCCCATTGTTGTTGATTCTCTCTCATCACTGATGTTTTTGTCTCCCTCTCCCTCCCTCTTAAAAAAGGCTTGGATTGCCCTAACCGGTTTGGCTCAGTGGATAGAGCGTCGGCCTGCGGACTCAAGGGTTACAGGTTCGATTCAGGTCAAGGGCATGTACCTTGGTTGCGGGCACATCCCCAGTAGGGGGTGTGCAGAGGCAGCTATGGATGTTTCTCTCTCATCGATGTTTCTAACTCTCTATCCCTCACCCTTCCTCTGTAAAAAATCAATAAAGTATATTTTTTTTTAAAAAAAAAGGCTTGGATTAAATTCTCAGTCCACCTTCAACACCTAGTAATCAGCAGTGTATCTTCTATGAATCGCTCAGTTGGCCTTGGTGAATGCATGGGTAGAATGAATGCGCAGAGGCCCGCGCGCATGCGCCACAGGGAGAAAGCCTAGGCATGGGAAGGCGAGAACGTGCGAGGCTGTAGGGGGGACAAGAGGCCTCCTGGCCCAGCTGCTCCTCCTGGGGCCACAGGTGGAACTAACGACCGTTCGCCCCACCCCATGCACCCTCAGCCCAGCTTCGCGTCGAGCAGGCTTTCCCCGCCGCTCGAAGGCCTGGCCCCGGGCCCCGCTGTCACAGGGCAGAGCTGGCCGTCTCTGAAGTGCGGGCGGGAATGGCGCCCAGGCTCCAGGGACTGCGCCCGGGCAGTGGGCCCTCGGCCGCCGGGAGAAGGCGCCCGCGCGAGGGCAGCCGCGGGGAAGGCGGCGGGCGGGCCCGGGCGGAGGGCGGGGGCGGGGGCGGCGGGAGCGGGGCGGGCGGCCGGGCCGGGCGCGCCGGCGGCGTGGGTTACCTCTCCAGGGCCTGCAGGGTGTAGCTGATGAGCGGCCGCTCCAGGACCGGGCAGAACTGCTTCGGGGTGGGGACGCCCATCCTCTCCCCGCTCCCGCCCGCCGGCAGCACGGCCGCCACCGCCAGCGAGGCCGCCGGGGCCGCCGGGGCCGCGCCGCACCCGCCGCGCACGCGAGGCCCCGGCTCCGCGGGCCCGGAAGCGCCCAGAGGCCCGGGCTCCATGGCGGCGGGTCCCGCTCGCTCCCGACCGAACCGCCTGGGGCTGCGGAGGCCGCCGGGCGGGGTCGCGAGGTGCCGGGCGGACTCGCGCAGGGGTGCAGGGCGCGCAGGCAGACGGCGCCCCCGGAGCTGAGCGCCGGGCAGGCGCGGTTCCCCGGGGAGCGGCGCGGCCGCGGACCTTCCCTCTCCGCCGGCCGGAGGCCTCTGCGCCGCGCCCAGCGCCCCCGGCGGGCCTGAGTGTCCCAGCGCACAGCTTCCCCTCGGGCCGCCCGGCGGGAGCCGCGGGTGCCAGGGTTAGCCCCCAGCTACCTCACTTAAAGTGTGCGAGTCTGTGGAGGTCTGGCCTCCCTCTGATCCCTTGAAGATTTGAAAGAACGTGGACTCAAGTCACAGGCTGGGACAGAGATGTGCCTCTCGGTGATCTGCTGATCTGACTTTCATTAAACTACGGTCCAGACAGGTAGATGGAGAAATGCTTGGGTTAAGGAGGCATCAGTAACCCAATCTGCAAATTGAAGCCGCCGATGTCCCTCCCTTAGAGATCAGGGTTAACAAATGGGCAAATAGGGTTTGAGAGGTTTTTAAAGATCCCCAGGTTCCAATAAGCAGGTACATTTTGGAACCACAGAGCAAGGCCTTAATACGAATCACTGCTGAACGTTCCACGCACATGGCCTCATTGAGTCTCTGGGAGGGCCCAACTGCTCCTGCGTCCCTTTTACAGAGGAGGAAACAAGGCATAATGTTGAAGTGCCGTGTGTAAGGTTGCACGCCTAGTGACAGAGCTGCCTCAGGCCCTTGCACACAAGTACAGAGTTGAAGAATATCCAGCCTGAAACATATCTTTTTTAGTACTGTCCTTGTTGGCCGAGATTAGCATGAAAATGTAGTAAGTGTGTGGAGTCTCAGAACATATTATATTAGTTCCCTGGGATGTAAACTCCAAGAAAGCAAACTCCTTACTTTTTCTTTATTGATTAAGGTATTATATATGTGTCCTTATCCCCTCGTTACCTCCACTCCCCTCATACTCTCACCCCCCTGGTGTCTGTGTCATTGGTTAGGCTTCTGTGCATGCATACAAGTCCTTTTGTTGATCTCTCCCCTTTACCCTCACCCTCCCCTACCTTCCCTCTAAGGTTTGTTGGTCTGATCTATGCTTCTCTGCCTCTGGCCTTACTTTTTTTTGTTTCAGGTTGTATTCCCACCACTGGAATATAGCAGAGGCTTAATAAATATGTAATGAATGAACTACTGATTAAATTAATGTGAATTGAAGTATATATAATTAAATATTTGCTAATTCATATTTATCCATCTTCACCCAGCAATAGTTAATATAAAGTTCATAAAAAGGGAATCTTTTAAGCACTGAAAATATTGGGTTATAATATTCCAATTTGTTATTTTTTTCCCATTTTTTCCCAATTAAGATTAAAGCATACACAGCAATGTAGAAGGAAACAAAATTAACATCCAGAAATTGATGGCTTTTTTTATATACCAATAATGAACTCTCAGAGAGAGAAACTTAAAAAACAATCCCATTATCATTGCAACAAAAAAATTAAGATGCTTAGGAATAAACTTAACCAAGGAGGTAAAAGATTTAAACAAGTGGAAGAGTATACCATGTTCATGGATTGGTAGAATCAATATCATTAAAATGTCCATACTACCCAAAGCAATCTATAGATCCAATGCAATCCCCATTAAAATACCAATGGCATATTTCACAGACCTAGAACAAACTCTCCAAAAATTCACATGCAATAAAAAAAAAAGGAACTTGAATAGCCACATCAATCTTGAGAAAGAAGAACAAAGTTGGAGGGTTCACAATACCAGATATCAAGTTATACTACAAAGCCTCTATACTCATAACAGCCTGGCACTGGCATTAGAACAGGGATACAGACTAATGGAACAGAACAAAGAACCCAGAAATTGATCCAAGCCAATATTTGACAAAGGAGGCAAGAGAATACAGTGGAGTCAAGAGTCTCTTCAAGAAATGGTGTTGGGAAAATTGGACAGATACATGCAAAAAAATGAAACTAGACCACCAACTTACACCATACACAAAAATAAACTCAAAATGGATAAAGGACTTAAACATAAGATGGGAAACCATAAAAATCTTAGAAGAATCCATAGGCGGCAAAATATCAGACATATGTCATAGCTTTATGTTTACCGATACATTTCCTAGAACAATAGAAACTACGGATAAAATAAACAAATGGGACTACATCAAAATAAAAAGCTTCTGCGCAACAAAAGAAACCATCAACAAAATAACAAGAGAGCCCACTGCATGGGAGAACATATTTGCCAATGATACACCCAATAAGGGGTTAATCCCTAAAATGTATAGGGAACTCATACAACTTAACAAAAGGAAGATAAACAATCCAATTAAAAAATGGGGAAGGACCTAAATAGACACTTCTTGAAAGTGGACATACAGAAGGGCAAGAGGCATATGAAAAAATGTTCAAAGTCACTAATCATCTGAGAGATGCAAATCAAAACGACAATGAGATATCACCTCACACCTGTAAGAATGGCTATCATCAACAAAATGACAAGTGTTGGCAAGGGAACCCTCGTCCACATCTGATGGGAATGCAGACGTTGCAGCCTCTGTAGAAAACAGTATGGAGTTTCCAAAAAATAAAATTAAGAATAGAAGTCCAATTTGACCCAGTGATCCCACTTCTAGGAATATACCCTAAAAAATCAGAAACACCAATCAAAGAATATATGCACCCCTATGTTCATTGCAGGGCAGTTTACAATAGCTAAGATTTGGAAACAGCCTAAGTACCCATCAGCAGATGAGTGGATTAGAAAACTGTAGTACATCTACACAATGGAATACTACCCAGCTGTAAAAAAGAAAGAACTCTTACCATTTTCAACAGCATGGATGGACCTGGAGAGCATTATGCTAAGCGAAATAAGCCAGTCAGAGAAAGGTAAGTATCACATGATCTCACTCATGTGGGATCTAATAACATAAACTGATGAACAAAAATAGACCCAAAGACAGAAGTACCAAAGAGACTTTCAAACCTCAGAGGGAAGGCAGGGGACGGGGGTTGGGAAGAGATCAACCAATGAACTTGTATGCATATATGCATAAACCAGTAACACAGACAATAGGGTGGTGAGAGCCTGAGTTGGGGGGGGGGGCCGGCTTGGAGAGGTCAATGGGGGGAAAAGGGGACATATGAAATACTTTCAACAATAAAGATATTTTTAAAAAGATTACAGCATACACAATTAAAATATAAATTTTCTGCTCTTTTTTTAAATTTCATCTTGTTATTATAAGCACTCTAAGTCTCGCTTGTGTTCCTGTCATTATAATTCACATTTAGCTCCATTCCAGTTGAAGATTTTTTGATCACTGACTCTTAACTCATAAGTAGGCATCATACTACACTTGGCTCTGTAGCACCACTACCACACCTATGTCTGGCTTTTCTGTGCATTCAGTTAATATCTGTTGACTAACCAGATGAATAAGTGTGTCTATCTAGAGAGGCAGAAAGACAAATCAATTGTTTCTATTAATATTGATCTTTATACTTCCCTTTTTAATCTAACAGGGGAATTAAAGCTAGTGTTCATTTTCTTAGTCTTGAGGGGACAAGAGCATAGAAATAAAGGCTTTATTATGCCAATTGCTATATAATTATTACATATCCTAAACCTTGACAACTTTTAGCCAGAATCTTATTTTATTTATTTTTTTCTTAGAGCAAATATACTAATTTTCCTCTGTTCACTATGAATCGTTATGTTTTACATACTGTATATTAATAACATTTAGCAGATAGACTTGTATAAAAAAAAAGGGACAGACTGTTCATTTGTATATCACAGTATAAGAAGCAATATTTTTTCTGTATCTTTTTATATAGATATAAAAATGAATTCCTTATAATGCATCCTTTGGGTAAAAGATGTAATTTCCTTATTACTTTATACCAAGTTATAGCAGCCACATTATGAGAATATCTTCTCTGCAACAGGCATTTGAAAATACTGATACCTCACTGCTGGGCATTGCTCACCCTGAAGCTGCTGCAATAGAGAGATCCCAGAACCACTAACATGAGCCAGCCAAAACGATAAGAATTCTTGCCAAATCAGACTCCCAGATATCTGTCTCCAGAGTTCAGAGGAAGCACAATGGTAGGAGTCCTTTTTCTTCCTTCTTTACTAAATACAGATTAGCAGGAGAAAATATTTGTGAAACTAGTTTCTTGGGTTTGGTGACTCTTGGTTACTTAGTACTCCTGCATTTGGTTAATTCTCTTTTTCTCTGTGTGTCGGGTGTCTCTCCTTTCATCTTATAATATGTCCTGAGAGCTTAGTTTATGACCAGTGAGAATATTTTCTCTCTGGCCTCCACCATACAGTGAGTGCACCTGCTGGGGTGCATCTTGCTTTCTGGTCAGCCGTTCCAAGATCTCAAGGGAGTTTTCTTTGTCTATCCATTTCCTCCCAGAGATGTTAAAAACAGGGCCCCTCATTTTTGTTTTCTCCCCGTCAAAGGATGTATATACATCTGACAGGTAGTGGAGTAGGCTGTGGGTCTGAGTTTAGAGAATCTAAACACCCCATTAAAAACAGGGGAACACATAATTCCCAGTGTTTTGGAATAGCTGTTTCTAACTCTGGGAATTAACTTTTTCTTTTGAAGGTTGAATCTTTTTGCACTTTCCTTTGGGGATGCCTCTTGCATTCATGTGTTCATATTGATTTGAGTCACTATTAAGATCCGAGTCATCAAGACAAGACAATGGATCCTTTCAACTGGAAAAAGCTCTAAATTTAAAAGAAAGAAAATTTTTTAAAGATTTCTCTTATTGTTACAATGGCTAGTCATTAAGATATGCTATTTAATGAAGAGCTAATATGCTAATTAGGCCAGATGGTGGAACCACCTTCTGGAACAACCAGTGGGCGGGGGGTGGGGCTGCTGCGGGGCCACAAGGCCGCTGGGGCAGCGAGACAGCCAGGGCTGCGAAGGCCAAGTCCCTTGCATGAATTTCATGCATTGGGCCTCTAGTCCTTAATAAGATGGAAGGACAGAAATGAGAATGAAAACCAAAGGCCATTCAGATCCCTTCCTAATTTGCCTTTGGACATTGGCAGATATTATAAAAACTCAGAACATTGGAAATACAATTGTCCTATACTTAAGGAAATGAAA